ATGGCCGTCGCTAACCGGTCAGACGTATCTGACCGGCCTTCCCCCTATCCGCCACCTGGGGACGCGCCCGATGGGTAGCTCAACCTGCACGGGCTGGAGTGGGTTACTTAGCTCCATTACTTAGTAATTTTTGAATGAAAACTTCCTGCACAAAACAGAATTATAAAAAACTAGCACCGACGTTTTTGCCTCCTGGGTTAAGCATACGAAATGAACAACATATCAATATAAGACTTCAAAAATACATTAGATGACCTTAACGATAAGTAGGTACTTATATATTTGATTGCTTGAAAGTTCTATTTCGTTTAAAAATCGTGTATTATTGTTTATCCTCTATAGGGACTTCGTTTTTTAATCGCAATAAACTTCTAAGCAGCGTTTTTTAATTTCTTCTTGGATTCCATTATGTCGACTTTTTCGTGGCCTTCCTCGTTTCCTTTGTCCTGCTGTGTTCCGTTACAAGGTCTGTTTTGGATTTCTTGTAATTCGCCTTCTATTTCCATTCTTGAACTACTCGGGGCCCTGCACCTGAAGTCCATCTCCGTTGCTTTTAATGTTTTTTTTCTGTACTTTTTTCGATTGGTCACTCCTCTGAGCTGTACGTTTTCATGCTTTTACAAGGGTATTATATATCTTTTTCTTATTATCTTTATTTAGCATAAATGCTCTCCTTGCTTGAGTGTTTCTTTTTTTGATTTTGTTCAGTTACATGATTGTGCCTAAATACTTCTGGGTTCCAAAACGTTATTCTTTTATTAGCTTTAAATGCTCGCTAGTTAGCATAGTTTCGCTGCTCGTTTCTAATGTAGATATATATATTCCGTTTTACTAATGTTTGAATGTGTTTTTTGCGAAGTAATCTATTTTGTTATTCATTTTGTCTGCTTAGTTCAAGAAACGAAAACAGTATTATCACTACTTCATTATAGATTGCGGAATATTATTACAGCAGTTGAAAATTAAATAAACAAGTGATAGTAGATGGTAAGAAAAAGGATAAGCACTTTCATCTCATTATCACAATTTTTTCAGTTTTTCGCTTATCATGGTTTCTAAATGTACGCGTGTGATTTCTTTTTATTTGACCTTCTGGAGTTTCGCCCTTGTAACGTACTGAAAAGGTGTGAAACCAGTCAAACATATTTGCGACATTATTAAATTAAAATCTTAGCATATGAACTGGAACGTTGATTAAATTCTTAAATTGTCCTAGTCGACCATAACCTGTGACGATAACTGTATTATAGAAATCACTATTTTTAAATAACTGATACCAACTGGTTTCGAAACAGATAATTTATACTGAATTTTGTATGCATGTTCGATGTCGATGTAAAATCTTTCAAGTTTGCCCAAATCGCCTTAATCCCTGAGCACTCTTTGCTTCAAAAAATCCCAACTTCCAATCTAGGGCAAGCAGACACTTGAAACTTGCACAGCCCATAGAAAACAGTTGAAGCTCAAAATACTGCAAATATTGCCCAAATGATCTTAATGCCTGATTTTTGTCGACTTGGACAAGTTGGCATAAAAATGGACGTTTTTACCCAAACGCACTCTTTGCTTCAAAAAATCCCAACTTTCAATCTAGAGCAAGCAGACAGTTGAAACTTTCACAGTCCATAGAAAACAGGTGAAGCTCAAAATACTGCAAATATTGCCCAAATGGCCTTAATGCCTGATTTTGTCGACTTGGACAAGTTGACATAAAAATGGACGTTTTCACCCAAAAGCACTCTTTGCTTCAAAAAATCCCAACTTTCAATCTAGAGCAAGCAGACAGTTGAAACTTTCGCAGTCCATAGAAGACAGTTGTAGCTCGAAATACTGAAAATATTGCCCAAATGGCCTTAATGCCTGATTTTTGTCAACTTGGAAAAGTTGGCATAAAAATGGACATTTTCACCCAAAAGCACTTTTTGCTTCAAAAAATTTCAACTTCCAATCTAGAGCAAGCAGACACTTGAAACTGTCTGCAGTCCATAGAAGACAGTTGAAGCTGAAAATACGGTAAATATTACCCAAATCGCCTTAATGCCTGATTTTTGCCCACTTGGAGAAATTGGCATAAAAATGGACGTTTTCGCCCAAAAGCACCTTTTTCTTCAAAAATGGCCAACTTCGAATCTAGAGCAAGCAGACACTTGAAACGTTCACAGTCCATAGAAGACAGTTGAAGCTCAAAATAGATTGTATGTGATATGGGTACAAACAAACAAACAATGTATAAGTCTCTTCACACTTTCACTCGACTAACATGAACACGACAATGAATATTCTTCGCACACTAGTAGGGGGTGTGTTTTTGGTAATGTTAAGAATCGCTGCTTCTTTCTCAAGTTCTTGCTGCACGGTACGTTCTCCAGTATATTTAGGAAATGATCTGGTTCCATCAAATGACGAACCTAATTCAATTGCCTTCTTATTAGGCATTATTGAAACTAGAAAGACACATCCGTTAATTTTCCACACTGACGCACTTGCATTTCCGTTACAGTATAAGTATATAGAATGAATATCGGCACATTTTTTAAATTTAAAAACATAGCCATATTTTGTTGGTAGCTCGGTATCAATTTTGTAAAGGTGTGTGCATGATTTTCAATTTAAAATTGATCAAGCAATTCGCTGTTAAGCTATGGTAGTCTAATCACGAGACACCCTGTACCTATATATGTATGACTATAAGGTTTACATGTCTAACACCTAACACTTAGCTTCTTTCAAATGGTTATTGACAGTTTCAGACATGGCACTTATATGTGCCTAATGAACAAAAAGTTCGGTAGTCAATATTTCTTCTTAGAATAGATTTTGAACACTTTGGAAACGTGGGCATTATTCGTAATTAATAAAGGGATAGGAAAATCAATAATAATAATATGTAATCAATAATTTTATTGGTTTAGACTTACATGACGAATCATATTCTATCATTTAATGTCTTACATACAGCTTCTAAAACTAATACATTTCAATATGAAAATGTAATATTAGTGTAAATACATACTACAGGCAAAAACCTACCATCATAAAATACATCCCTTAAAAATTCATTTTCCAACGTTCTGATTTGGAACAGCATGGAAACCACCTCGATGACTGAATCGAATGATTTTTGCGATCTATTTTTATAGGAACTGTGGTATGACGTTTGTACCAAGTTAACTGAAATATATTTTATGAGGTGTTTCATAAAGGCACATGATTCAACTCTTTACATTTGTTTGTTATAAAATATTGCACATTTAAAAATAAAAAAACGAAGTTTAGACCTGCGTTTAAGACTAATAAAATAATCATAACCTAAAACATTATCGTAAGACAAATATGTTGTTAATTATTAATTTTCACGTGGGATGTGATTACATTTGACTAATTAGAATATTAATAATTAAGTGAATTTAAATGTTATATCAATATACCGGAAGGTATATATTTTCGCATCCCTTAACTGAACGAACTGTTTTTAGGTCACAAATGCAATTCAAGACACTACTTAAAATGTAGTATTCGTAATAATTTGATTGTATTTGTAATATGTATGTAAGATATATTAGAAATGTCCCCTAATGTCTGTCACAAAACGCGTTGTTGTCTCTTTTTTAATTTAAATTTGTATAAAGATTTGAAGTGTATAAATCTCTTTGAAATACATTCTCTATAAGCGCCAAATAAAATTTCTCTTAAAATTAAACTCACTGTTATAGTATAAACTTACTTTGAATAAGTATTTATACAAAGTAAATTTATATGGTACCTAAGAAATGCGTTTACTAACCCTGACACAAAATTTAACTTAGAACAAATTAGGTGATGAAATCAAATAATTATAAGTGACTAGCATAGTGATCTTGACTGACATTCATGCATAGAAAGTCAACACTATATCTCTGTTTTGAAACTGTACTTTTAAACTGACTAAACTTTTTTGGGACTTGTTGACATACCAGCGACTTTTTTGCGACGTTTGTTTAGTAATGAATTATTAGACTTATCTAGTGGTTTCATTTGAACTTGATCATAATCAACGCGCATTGTAGCAAGAGATCTAGTCATTTCTTCTTGTACTTCGGACCACATTTCCTCTCCTTCTTTTAGCATTCTATGAGTATGCAGTGGAGTTTGTGGCACTGCTGTGTATTGCTGGAATACAAATTTGATTACATAAAATGCTGTTAAATAATCAATTTAGCGCGTGGCTATTTAGCACGTGATACAGTGGCGATTTGAGATAAGAGCCCCAATGTCGTGACCGTACAATCAATTAAGCATTCTTATGCAAATAAATTAAATGATTATACGCTCTGAAAAAATCTTATCAGTGTTACGCACTGTTAACAATACGGTTTTTTAATCGACATATTTAATGCGATTGTTGCCATGATAAAAGAAATCGTTTGTAACACACATTAATGTAACGTCTTTGCCATTTCGTGTCTATTAAGTGGCGTTTATACGCTCAAGTTATCTGAACGATCTGGCTTGCACAAGCCCGATCGCTCAAGCAAATCGTTACGTGTAAACGCGAATCTGAAGTTTGCGCAAACCGAAAAATTTGGCTTGGGATCGTTGGCTTGAGCGTGTAAACGATGTCCAAGCCAGGTTTATCGGTTTTGAATCAAATATTGCTACCATGTGCGGGATTCCCTTTGTTGGATTATCGTTTAAAGCACTTATTTCCTAATTTTACAGTTGCATTCCACATATTATCAAACTTCTTATTGATTTAAATAATTGTTTCAATTATTTTTTTTTCGATTTCAATTAAATGTAAAAATAAACCTTAAAATGAAGCCATAAATTTGAATTAGGAAAAGGATGCAGATAAAGGTACGGCGGTGGAATCTATTGTACAACCAGTGGACAAGTGTTCTGCAGATGACACATCTGGCGCTAGTACCAATACCGCAAGTGCGGATCCAGG